ATGATCGGCTTGAGATGGGATCAGTGCCTCCTTTACCTGGACGACATCATCGTCTTCGGTAAGACCTGGTCAGAACATCTCTCACGGCTTGACACGGTACACGGCCGGTTGAAATCGGCCAACCTGAAGCTGAACCGGAACCAAATGCCACCTGGCGCGACAGAGCCTTGACTTCCTTGGATTCCGCTTATCGGCTGAAGGAATCGCACTCAAAGAAGCGCTCATCCAGGCCCCCATATTGGCATTCCCCGACTTTTCACAGCCATTCCGAATGAACACCGGATGCGTCCAATATCGGTCTTGGGGCAGTCCTCGCACAGACGCAAAAAGGAAAGGAACGAGTCATTTCCTACGCCAGTCGTCTTCTCAATGCAGCAGAGAAAAATTATAGTACGACTGAGAAAGAGTGCCTAGGCTTGACATGGACCATTCTGGCACACCATCAATACCAGTTCGAGGTATTGAGGTATTCACAGACCACAATGCCCTAGTTTTGCCACGAAAAATAAAGTCCCCGACTGGAAGACTGGCCAGATGGATAATGCTCCTAGAGCAATACGAATTTCAACCCCGTTACGTGAAAAGCAAGAAGAATCAAGCTGACATCTTTCGCTTGCCAGTACAACCATCCATAGATAAGACATTGATGATGGCCTCGCCGTCCGGATTCTTAACACCCCCCGTCACAACGGAGACTAATCCTCAATTAATTGCTCGCCTCCCTAAAACCGGACCCCTTCCACCCCCTTTCGCCGTGTGTGACATGAAATCCGAATAAAAGGTACGAACGCAGACATCACGCTGGACTCAGGGGAAGAACGGATTGTTCTCACTCCTGTTCACACAAATCCACACGGACATGAGCACAGGACACCTTGGCGCCCAGAAAACCCTGGCCAAGTTCCAGCAGGTCTACTTTCCCCCGAAAGCTCGGGATATCGCACACGACGTGTGTCAAGAATGCCAGCGAATAAAACCCCCGGTCAAACCCATCCGTCCAGCTTTACAACCCATATTGTCATCGCGACCAATGGAGCTGGTTACCCTCGACATCACAGGCCCGTACCCAACCTCTCTCAAGGGAAAAAAAGAACATTCTAGTCATCCTAGATCATTTCTCAAAGTACGTTCTGCGTACTGTGGCAAAAGCCATGTGTCAAGATTTAATTCCACACTATGGTCTCCCCCCAAAGGATCTTCACGGACCAGGGACGAAATTTCGAGAGCACCCTATTTGAAAGTCTGTGCTCGCAACTAAACATCACGAAGTCAAGAACGACCCCAGATAAACGGTGCCAACGAAAATTTCCACGTGACGATGCATAGGATGATGTCGTCATACATCGCCACAAATCAGTCTGACTGTGACGTGATTTTAGGAAATCTACAACTGGCCTACAACACTGCGACACATTCTGTGCATGGGTTCATGCCTTTTCTGCTCATGAGCGGCTTTGAGGCAACACTACCGTACCTATGGGTGCCCCGAAAAAACGCCCACTGAAAAAATGCCCACGGAAATAATGCCCACAGTAAAAACGCCCACAAGAAAAAATGCCCACGGAATAAACGCCATACCTGCAAAGTACGAAAAAATGCCCACATGCATATTTCCAAACATCTCTTGCGGCTTCTTTTTTTTTTATTTGTAAAAACGAATGCAGTTTAATTTTCCAAACGTGACATATAACCATTGAATGCATTAAATATATCACATCTATCAAAGTAATAAAACATGAATATGAAGAAAATTCCCAAGATTCCAGAACGCTTCAACGTTGGATCAACGAAAGGAGTATTATTTCCGGGAATTCAAAGGAAAACGTGAGAAAAAAAAGTCACTTGAGATAAGATCAGGTGCGTGGGATTTTGTTGCTAATTCGCCTGTCCTTTGGACCGATTTCAATAGCAATGGAGTAATTGAAGTGTGACATGCCACGTTTGGCATGACTAGGTCCGGTTGCCTATAATTATCTTGGAGGTAGGGGCATATTGATCCCGAGGAAGGCGGAAAGATAAGTTCCATACAGAGGATCATGGGAAAAAAATCTTTGAACATTGTTTTAGACAAGACACTGAGAACTCTTGATTGACAATCCCCTCCTACCCCCTGTGAAGTATGAGGAGGAGATCATGATGCCATTGTTCGAAGTATCTTCAAACGGATTATATATAAATACGGTGTCTTAAGCTTATTCATTTCACTTCAAGTAACCATGGAGTTCATCTCGAACCAGAAAGGCGGACGGAAAGTTATCTTCGAAGGCTTCATGTATGTGAAGCACTCCCAGAAGAACGACAAAATCCGGTAGTCTTAAGCTTATTAATTTCACTTCAAGTAACCATGGAGTTCATCTCGAACCAGAAAGGCGGACGGAAAGTTATCTTCGAAGGCTTCATGTATGTGAAGCACTCCCAGAAGAACGACAAAATCCGGTGGCGCTGTGCCCTGCGGTCCCTATCTTGTGGGAGAATTTTGTTCACGGACGCCGACTGCACCAATCCCTGTCCAGGAGCAGCTCATAACCATGCTCCGGACACGACAGCTATCAAGATCAACAAATGTCGTGTCTCCATGAAGCAGCGAGCGGCCAAGACGTGTGACAAGCCAAGTGTTATCTACTCGCAAGCCATGATGCATTTGGATGACGATGCTCGTGCGCTTTTGCCATCAGAGGCATCCATCAAACGAACTCTGCAAAATCAACGCAGCTCTTTCTTCCCGGCTGAACCAACATCTCTGAAGGATCTTCATATTGAAGGCTTTTGGGCAACAACGGGTGGCTCAAATCCGCAACCATTCCTATTCTATGACATTGGTCCAGACGTTGACTCACGGATCATTGCCTTTGGGTCAAATCAGTGCCTGCAACTTTTGGCGAACGGCAACAAGTGGTTCATGGATGGCACCTTTTAAATCCGCAACCATTCCTATTCTATGACATTGGTCCAGACGTTGACTCACGGATCATTGCCTCTGGGTCAAATCAGTGCCTGCAACTTTTGGTGAACGGCAACAAGTGGTTCATGGATGGCACCTTTTTCCATGGCACCCGCGACTTCATGCAGGTGTACGTGGTTCGAGTTCCCTTGGCTGACGTTACTGTATCTTGTGTCTACGCTTTTCTTCAGAGGAAGACAAAAGAAGTTAATGCTGAGCTACTTCAAGCCATTGCAAGCAAGTGCGAGAAGATTGGTTCGCCTGTGGATCCATTGGTCGTCATCACAGACTTCGAGGTGGCAGCCATGCAAGCTGTTAGGGAATGCTTTGGTGACCATGTGACTACACAGGGGTGCTTCTTTCACCTGACACAGAATACTTGGAAGAAGGTTCAAGAGCTGGGCCTCATTGACCGTTACCGCCAGGACGATGAATTCAAGCACTTTTGTGGCATGTTGGACGGTTTGGCGTTCCTGCCAGTTGCAGACGTGGATCGAGGGATGCAATTTCTTCGTACCATCACGCCACCAGATGCAGAGAGCTTGGTCGACTACTTCGACGAGACATACGTCACAGGAAACTACCGACGACTCGATGCGAGTGGTACTGTGACTCGGTTTCGCCGCATCCCAGCAAAGTTTCCCCCAAATGTCTGGAACGTCTACGAAGCAACTTTGTCTGCAGCAGACCGAACCAATAACCAATCCGAGGGATGAAATCACAAACATCTTCACATAGTTGGCCACAAACACCCTACCATATGGAGATCTATCGCTGCCTTCCAAGCCGACAATGCTACTGTTGCAACTTCTATCCTGCAGAACGCAACTGGAAATCCAAGAAGAAGGTGAAAAGGGCAACACAAGACTATCAGAAACGACTACATAATCTGTGCCTGGCCTACAGTCAGAAGCAGAAAACAGCTGAGGAGTTTCTTCGCGGAGTGGGACATGCTATTCATTACAAGAATAATTAACATGCGATTGTTCCACTTTGCAAAAGCGCTTCAAGTGTCGCCTAGATTTCCTGTATTATTTAATTTGTTCCATTTCGGCAATGCCATAAATGAGATGCTTTTTTGCAGAATAAAAAAAAAATAAAAACCAGGAAAATATTCAAGTGGGCATTTTTTCGTACTTTGCAGGTATGGACGTTTTTTCCATGGGCAATTTTTCTTGTGGGCGTTTTTTCTGTGGGCATTATTTCCGTGGGCATTTCTTCAGTGGGCGTTTTTTCGTATATTCGCTGAAGGCTCTCCTAACTTCTTTCCGACTTCTTATATCTCTTAGGGGTGCGTTTAGGGATTCCTAGCTAAGGGAATAACGTGAATACGGTACCTCTAGGGGAAACTTATTTTCCAGCCTTTCCATGCATCATCTCTTAGGGATCCCTTAGCTAAGGGAGTGACGTGAATACGGCCCTTAGCTTGAAATCTATGCTTAATCCCTTATCTGAATGCAAACAAACCTAATAGTAGTAAGCAGGGTCAATGCATGAAGATTATAAAGTATATTTGTTTCGGTTGTGGATTTCCATCCTCACGATCAGTTCAGATTTGTCAAAAACATGAATTTTTCCTGTGTTTGACATTAAGTTCTGAGTAGAAGGCGAGTGCCGTTAGTTGACATATGCGGTTAGGGCAAAAACGTTGCTGGTTTAAGGTCTGAGTTTGCTTTTCTTATGGAAAGCGATGTCCAATATTGACAAATCATATTGTAGGGCAATACCCCAAATTTAAATCAAGTCAATCCTGTAGTATAAAGAATGGCATGGACCAACCGCTGTTGTATTATTTTTAACTTCGATTCGTGATCAATTGATTCACGATTGATTCACGACTACTATCTGAGATCGAAGTAATTGCATCAACTTAGAGTCCAGCTTATTTCCGTAGTTTTTTTTCCCAATATTACCAAAGTTGACATGTCAATCTCTAAATCAATATGGCAATTTTCATTCATGAAAGCACAACTTGTGTTTTGATTCCAGGGTCGATAAATCCGACCTCCAATCGGCACTAAATACGTGTTCTCGGCAGTGGAATGAAATATCCTGCAGATCGAAAACATAAAGTGTTTGACTTTATTGGGGACAACAGACTGGACTGAAGCATCGTTCATCTGGGTTCCGTTAAGCTAAAACAGTCCCAGGAGCCCGTCTCCCTCGTGTCCGAGCGCCGTTTCGTGCCACACTGGCCTTAGTCAGACCCTCTGAAACGCGATTTGGGGGACAGGGGGGCAATGGGTGAATTCAACATTCTGGGTCACGTATCACAATCGTGGATGAATATCCTGTCCCGGAGTCTTCTCTACGTTTGCAACACGAAGGAGAAAAATTTGCTGGTGCAGTCACTACGGGTCGTGGGCGTGCGAACTATGGATAACGATTTTATATCACCAGCCGTGAAATTGCACTTGAAGACGCTGTGATGGCTTCTCCCCAAAGTGAGTCAATAAAATATGGGAGGTGGTTTTTTTCCAGAAGAGGTTGCAGCGGTCGAAGTTAGCACTGTGGCAGGCACTGGCACCTCGGCGGGTTTCTCGTGCGGTTGTACTTCGTGCAGTTTTTTTTCGAGAACACCGTCGGCTTTGTCTTTGGAGTACTTCTTTGGATAGTGATGTTACACCCTTCTGGCTCTCAAACGAAGAAAGGAAGTACTACGATTGTGCGTCCCTGGGAAAGTAAAATACTCCTAGTCGAGAATCGGGGACGTATATACAAAGCACCTATCCACGAATGGATTGGGAGATTAGAAAGAATATGCCCTTATTGGTAAAATGTGACTCACACCACAGACTGTCACTGCATCCTTTCGGGGGGGGGGGGGTTTTTTTATCACAGGTGTTTTCACGCTTCCCTGAATCTTCTCTTTACCACGGGAAGAGTGAGATAGGAAATTATGCTTGCATGCAACACTGTACAACGGAAACGCGTGGGTCTGGTGGTTCGGCTCCGATTCTACGAGGTTCTTAAGACGGGGTTCCTAGGCCGGCCCTGCCCCGTTATTCAACTTGCCCTTCTCCTCGTCCTCCTCTGGGATGATTGAGTCGAGGTGCGGGGTGGGTCTGATCCCGGCTTCGTCGTGTCGAATCACCATGGACAGGTTGCGGACGATGCGGGAGAGGCTGCGGGACGGGGCGCGGAAGACGTTGGTCTCGTTCAGGTCTTCCTGGATCTGCTCCAGTGTCTGGCCCTTGGTTTCGGGGACGAAGATGGCCACGAACAGCACGGCGACGATGCAGTTGGCCATGAAGAGCCAGAAGGCACCGTGAGTGCCGAGGCCTTCCGTCATGCCGTCGAAGTTCTTGGTGACGATGAAGGTGCAGATCCAGTTGAACGAGGTGGTGAGAGAGCCGGCGACCCCCTTGATTTTGGAGGGGAAGATCTCCCCCATCATGAGCCAGGGGACGGGCCCCACGCCGAAGCTGAAGGCGATCACGTACAGGACGAGACTGGTCAGGGGAAGCCAGCCGAGCGACGAGACTCCCTCGGATCCGTATGTGTTCTTCAGGTAGAAGAACGCCCCCAAGGCAGCGAGGGAGACGGTCATGACCGTTCCCGACACGTACATGAGCACCTTGCGGCCCAGCCGGTCCACGAAGACATTGGCGAAGATGGTGGAGGCCAGGTTCACCAGCCCCACGATGATGGTGGAGAGGTAGCCGTCGACGGTGCTCCCGGCGGCCCTGAAGATGTCGACCGTGTAGAAGATGACGGCATTGATCCCACTGAACTGCTGGAAGAACATGAGTCCGAGGGAGATGAAGAGGGCGCGGACGTAGAGGGGCTTGGTGACGAGGTCCTTGAGCGTCGTCTTCTGTCGCATCTGCGCTTCGATGTGGGTATTTATGCCGATCAACTCCGAGTCCACGTCGTGGCCCTTAGAGCGCAGCCATATCAGCGCTTTCTTCGCCTGTTTCTTCTTGCCTGTTGCATAGTCGAGGATTTTTAGAATGGTTCTGAGGTGCTGCCGTAGCCAACGTTTTAAACCTCATACGAAGCGGTGGGTGTGGTGGAAAGACTTGATGACCCTTGATTAGCTAACATGTGAAGTAAAAATCAAAATTTATGATAGCATGATGCATTACGTTAGCCACATTGCTCTGATCTGGGACAACTGGGCTTAATTTGGAAAACATCTCGACTTAAAAATTAAGTATATCACATCCATGTTCTCAAGTTTTTCCATCTTCCCCCGCATCCATAAACCACGCAAAAACTCAGTAGTGATGGGCTTCAAGAATCCATTTCGGGTCTTCTCGAAAAGTACCAATTATAATATGGTTTTGAGGGTATTGTCAAAAATCGTATCAAATTTAAGTCAAGTAGGTTGGTATAATTTTTCCGCCACATTCCCCGGAGGAGAAAAAATATTCTGATCATCCCATCATCCCATGTAAACCTTGCGAGGAAGCCTCAAGACCACATATTGTAGAGGCCTGTCACCTAAACTCATTGCATATCAGCTATCGATTATGGCCATGCAGCAGTTGCTCACCTTTGGAAAGGTACCACCTTGGAGTCTCCGGTATGAGAAAGAGCAAGGAGATGAAGATGACGGGGATTGCAGTGCTCACCAGAGCGAGCTGGTCCCATTCCAAGAAATAGCCCATTAAGTATATGAATAATATACCTGAAATAAGGAAAACATTACACTCTAAAATTCCCAGAGAAACTGGGTGAGGGAACCGACCGGGGAAACCGACCGAAGTTGCCGACGGTCGAGCTGAGGACGCCGAGCGTGCCCCGGATGGCCGGCTCGGAGATCTCGCTCATGTAGATGGGGCTCGCGAGGGAGATGACCCCGACGCACAGCCCCGCGAAGGCGCGGCCCGCATAGATCATCATGATGTCTTGAGCGAAGGCGATCAGGAGCCACGCTGCACGCAGAGGATTGCAAGTGAGAAGAAGAGCACAGGCTTTTTCAATTTCAGTGCCATCTCTCCAACTTTATAGAGTCGCCGGTGATATATAAGGGAAAGGAAATCTACAGCTTAGCTATCAAGCATCAACATTTCGTGCTTTATTTATTACCATACCAAAATGTATCGAGTATCGTATTGATGAAAGAAACGGGGAAAATACAAAAGATTGCGACCCTCAGGGTTGAAGAGAAGGCACGGCCAGGCTTGGAACGCGGCGATCAAAGCGATTGCAATGAAAGAGGAAGGCGCCCCCTTATCCCCCTATATCGCTGCCATGCCAAGTACTTTTGAGATGCAGGTCATGCATGTCATTTCATTTGCTCAGTGGCTGCTCTGGAAGGGCCAAATTAGGACGTTCTTGATACATTTGCAATGATTGAACTCTACAGTCGAGAGTGTAATTTAATATGGTCAACGTGCTGCAACCTTTTTCTTCTCAAAAAGTATTTTCTGATACTCTAAGCAGCACTTTTATCTGTTTCATGAATATGGCTGTCATTTAGGTTTGGAACCCGTCCAAATGTTAATTTTGATGCATAAAAACAACTCGTTACTCACAAGCCGTGAAGGGAATGGAGGAAAGTAGGAGCGTGTGCTTGCGGCCTAATTTCTCAATGAGAGTCCCACCTACAATTGCCCCGCACAATGCACACAAAGGCATCAAGCTACCGATCCACGTTGCCTATAGGGAATGAACACATGTTCACATGTTAGCCATTGCGTCACCATTCGTTCATGCGCGTTCATCATTCTCTTATCCCCTTCTTCACCACCCATTACTCTAATCCTAAGTACTGTAATCTGGAACGAACTACCAGAGCAAGATCTACCACTACCGTTTCAGCGAGCAGTGCTGTCAAGTCGCACCGATCAAAGTGCTTCAATACTCTTTCGGTCAATGTTGCATGCTCAATGCAGTACTTATCTACTTGAGTACTTCTCCCATCTCTTGTGAAAAGACGGTTTGACTGGCCTCGGATCTTGTGAATATCTTGTTGATTTAAGGCCAACTAACCGAAATTAATTGAGTTTCATTTGGTACTCGGCGTCTCAACGACTATTACTCTTAAGTGAAAACAAATTTGAGGCAATAGAGGAGACGACTAGATGGAATCGAATAAAACCCGATTTATTTCGCTTTCACCATGAAGTTTTTTTTTCACGAACTGGAACCATTCAAGAATTTGGGCTGATTAACATTTTTAATTGATCAAATTACTCAATATAATTGATCGAATATCTGGGATTAAGATGGTTTAACCCATTAGCTATTCAAAATCGAGTTGGAAAGCAATTGAGAGTAAAGTTACATAATCGTGGGGAATTAATTCAATCAGCCTTTTCCTCTTGCGTTGCCATGCAGCATTCAAGTATTGAAGTACTTGTGATCGACGGACTCTGACAACGCTGCGAAGAGAGCAGTGATGGGCAGTATTTCAAGTGGTACCAGTACTTTGAGTTCATTTTAATTTCCAACGGTTTTTTCTCCATAGTATTCCTTTTATTCAATTTAAAAGAGGAATTCGTTGTTTCGAAGGTGCGTTACCAAATACAGAAAAAGAAACATTGGCCGGTAGCGCGATACGAAGCTGCCCTTTCGCAGTAGGAGTGCTTCAACTGCGTGCGAAACTGGTTCGAAAAGCATCATGAGTGTACCAAAAAAAAATTCGGGAAAGTATTTCATATTTTGCGTGTACAATACTTCATCCACAAACTATTGGTAGTTTTAAGTTTAAAGCTCATCATTTCGTATTTCAGCGTAATTAATTTTTTTTTATATCGTGCCCATCACTGGATTAGAGATATAGAAGGGTTGAGACCTCTTCCTGAGTGGGTTGAATCAGGCTGTCAGTGGAGTTCATGGACGCGAGAGCCGGCGAGGTGTAGGCCGTAGACGTTCCGACCACCAAGTTCCCGATCGCCACCGTCATCGCGGCCAGGATCTGCGGGGGGTCAGAGGCGTTGTAGGTCATGGGAAAAATCGTCGTCATCTAACCGGGATCTGATCGTTATGGGAATTGTGGTTTCTCCGATTTTCTTGACATTTAAATGACATTGCATCAGTCGATGCTGGTTTCTTCGACTTAAAAGCCACGACTCCATGGAGGATGGAATGGGAACAGTATGTAAAGGGGGTTCCACCATGGGTTTGGACTGGCTCCAGCCCGATTTGCGAAAAGGAAGCTTCTTTTTTTTGCTTTTGCTTCATTGTCTTTATTGGTGCGTGGAGAAGTGCGCAGAGCTACGGTGGAACCGCTAAGCTGGGAGAACAGAAAGGATGAAGACCCATGCCCTGAACACGTGATCATCACGTGTCGCTTCTCCTACAAGGAGGGGGAAAAGGGAAGCAATGGGGGGAAAAGCGTCATGATCAATTCTGGGACTGGGTGCCATTTCTCATGACCTCGTGTTGATGGCCGCACAGACGATTGATCAGATATGACGTCGTATCCCCCATTTTCTCGCAGGTATTACCTGCAATCGATTTATGATGGAAGAGCTGCCGATAGGCGTATCACGCTAACGGCGTTTCACAGCGGAAATAATTGATCAGAGTAAATGCCATGGGTACCTGGGTGCGGTAGCTCTTGGAGGGAAGGACTTGGCAGGGGTGTTCTTGCAGCACGCGGCGGCCCTGGCAGTCGAGGAAGTCCAGCGACCCCAGGGCATCCCAGCCACAGGATGTCATCTTGGTTTTCTTTTTGGTTCCAGCCTTACCAGTTTCCGCCAGGTTCAGTTCGGCTGGGTGGGCCACTTTATCCGCCCTGGGCTCAGGTGTTGTAAGCCCCGAACCGCTTGGGTTCTCGACCGATTTTCCTTGCTTCTCCGCTTTTTATCCTTTCTCTTCCCCCCCCCCTTTTTTATATTTCCCTCTCTCCCTCCCTCCCTCTTCGCTCGTTCCTAATGAACCTAATTCGGACGTAGTCAGAACCTGCATAGGAAGGACCGATACGCTTTCAAGATACTTCTTTGATAGGTTTTTGGGGGAAATGCGGCACTAGGCGCGCGTCAACGGCGACACGGCGCGATCGAACGGCACCGATCGCAGCGGCAAACGAAGACGACGAAGGGAGAAAACCGCAAAGCAACAAACGGGGCGGCGTCTGTCGGCGAACTGAGGAGACTCCCCAGCTGACGCGGGGTCTGCCTCCCGCCGGATCGATAACCCGCGCTGTCGTTATGCAACCACGGTGGGGTTCCCGCGGGTCAACGGTCGAGGAGGGTGAGAGGGGTGTCGCCCGGGCCTGACATCCAGGGGTCACTCGCGGGGCTGGTGTGAGGGACATGGACACGGAATAACGAGGCTCTGAGGGAGTTGGGGGCAATGGGAAGAGAGAATCAGACACCATATACGGCTTCGCAGGGTTGTTCGATACCTCGCCGATTTTTGCACGCTTCCACCCGCCATTGCCAATATAGGTAGATCGTTAGAAGCGTTCGATTACACTTGTTGATTTGCATGACTTGAGAGAATTCGTTCCCTGGGCACCTGAAAGATCCTATTAGAGAAATTTGACGAGCACGAAAGATCCTTTCAAGAAGTGGACCAGGATAATGATCTCGGGACTAAGACGGGCTATCGGACATCCGTGGCCCGGTAGAGAACACCAACACTCCCCAATCGATTGAAGCAGGAAAGCACGCAGTTGCCAAGTCTCGCTTTGCGCCTGTCTGACCTGGTTTCCTCCTCGCCGTCCAAGGTCGGCGTTCCGTCTTGAGTTAGTCGAGGCAAGTGTGGGAGCCATGCGACAGGTTCATCCAGAAAGGAGACGAATTTAGCCTAGAACGTTGAATCTTGGGGTGAAAGTGACCATGAGATCAGAGAGAGATCTCTTGAGCTAGGATTCTTGATATCCGAGCCGACTTTTTGCCCATGTACCCTGTGGCATGTACCGATTCTTCAAGCTAAACCGTACAAGAATCGCGACTCACCACCCCAGCGTATTTTATTTAGCATGACATGAAGCCCCCCCCAACCAATGAAAAAAATATGTTTCATCTAAATGGAACATTGCGGCAGCTTATAGCAGTCTCGGATTTGCATTCCTAATGCCCGCCCACGTCGGTAGCAGGCTCCTTTTAATAAATTAAAATAAGAAACTTCTGCGCGAACCTTGACATTAGTTTCTCCTTGTTCTCTCTTCGATTGCGTGGTCATCACTTTCGAGGCACCGACGTCATTCGATTGATCCCCAACCCACCACATGAACAAAGTTATCGATCGGGAAAAAGGCACAAAAAAAAGCCTTTTAGTTTTTACCTCGAGCGCCTAGAAATATTCACTGCAGGCAACTTATCGCCAAAAAAGCAACACCAAGAAGGAATTGAGCGACCTTGATTAAATGTGGCACACAAGCTCGTAGTAGTTCGTCATGATTAATTTCAAGGGCTTAGGATGAATATTCAGAGAAGACTCTTCAAACGCTCCAGTTTAATTGTGGGCGGGGAAGTCGCCCTAACGAACTCAAAAGATACGGAGGAAAATCGAGGAAAGTTTCAAGGTTATAGGATAAGACGAAGCAGAGAAAGCTTTTCCTCATGAGCCCCTTCGCCGTTGAGCCACTGCCGCGATGAAATCTTCAAAGGCAGTTTCAACTGAGCGTTTCATCGATGTAGGGCGGTGGAGATGCATCGACTTGATGCATGAATCACGCTGATGCCTGAAGAAACCCCGCCCCCATGTGAGTTTCCAAGTGCAAGTTTTCTCTGTGAATCCTACTCCCTTGAAACTCTCGTAAACGTCACGACACACTACAGCTTATGTACTAAATTTCATCAAATTTCATCAAGATCACTCAATACTTTCTTAGTGCTTTTTCTTGGCGATGAGAGCACGTTTTCGTGAAGCACGCGAGTTTTGCCTTAAGTTTTTGTTTCTTTTGACGATCCACGATCGAGAACTAAAACTCGCCGCTGCATGACAAGCTTCGTGATATGTGCAACAAGGCCTCGTCCACGCCGGAAACTTTCGAAGAAATCTTCCAGAGCATTGAAAATCTTGCAAAGAAAACTTGCGCGGTGAGGACGTCTCTGAAAGTTTTATTATGTAAGATTTTCAATTCTCTGGGAGATTTCTTCGAACGATTCCTTTGAAAAAAATTTCTTTCGCAATATTTCTTTATCATCTATGTAAGGAAACTTTTTGGTGTGAACAAGGCCTAAGGACGTGGGTGGGGCTGAAGTCTCCCGAGTCCCCATGCTTACTCTTAGTGGATAGTATCCACTCTTGTCATTTCCTGGTCACTCCCGCCCCGCCCCGCCCCGCCCCACTCCAACCCCCCGCCCCCTAGAATGTTTCTCATCAGTTTCTTTTACGCGATGTGTCTCCGCGATGGTGCGACCCCTGGCAATCACGTCGGTCTCGTCGACTCGTCGACGCGTCTCCAGCCCTTAAGAAGAGAGAGACATGAATGCTTGTGCAGATTGGCACGTGTGTCTCTCATTATCACGTTGAGTCCTTGGTAACACTCCCTCTGGGGAGAAGGGGGGGGGGGGATCGATGGTGCCTTTCGTGCCGAGATGAGACGAGATTCTCGTTGGCAGGGCCGCGAAGATATTGGGGATCTGTTCTTTTCCAAGCATTTATTAGACGATCGGGCAGAAGGGAAAATTATTCATGTTGACTGCTTCTGTAACGAGGAAAATGAAGTCTAAGAAAATAAGGTTTGGCTTGGGACTGCGTAGGATCGAGGCAACGCTCGGTGAGGATCGAGGTTCCTCTATCTCGATCTTTATGAGTGAGTTACTGCGACTTTGTAAACTTTTTCTTCAACCTGATCTCAATTTTTTTTTTTGTCCGAAGCAAGTACGTTTGCAGAGTGTTGAATTTGTTTTTGGTGGTGACTGACCTGGGTGACGCGGCCCCTCCAGACCTGGAGCGAGGAGGGCCTCTCGCCGACGTCATTTTGGCCGTCGCCGTCGGCGAGACCCTTCTTGTCCTTCCCACACCACAGCACGTTGCTGTCGTGCTTCCCGTCGGCCTTGCAAGCCTTCTTCTCTTTCGGCATCTTTCCGTCCGTCGATGTCTTCTGGATCGGCACTTGGTCGGTCACTTCGCGTCCAACTGGGAGGAAAATTCTGGTTCAGGCGATTCGGCTACGGCGGTCGTTAACGCCACTTATATATTTAAAATAAGAACTTATAAATACTCATAATTGATGTTATTTATATTTGGTGAACTTGAACCTTCACGCCGTTAAAATAATAGACCGCGTTCGACGGTCTCGGAAGTCGTTTGTTACTCGGCTGACTGATCAATAACCTTAGACAAATATGTATGCAAGGGAAGTATGTTTATGTCAGAGGGAACGGGGGAGGGCAACGGAGCACTGGCGCTAGCACGCAGGCAACGCGACAGACTGTCATCCGTGGGCCTTGTCGGTTGTGACAGCGGAGGCACAATGATCCCTCTTCTTTCAATCATGATGTGTCGACGAATGGGAGGAAAAAATGAGCTGGCAGAGGGCGGAGTTTGGCTCGTCTTTGGGGGGGGATCAAATCATGCGTTAAGTTTGGTATTTTTAAATTTCTGTTGAACAACAGTGAGTAATGGGAAAGCACAGGAAAACTCCGGGGGAAAGTTATGTTTTTTCCCCATTTTCCGGGGGGAGAAAACGACTTTCTGGGGGAAAGTGGCTCGTGCAATGCTTCACCCTCGAAGAAAGTCCCCAATTCGTTCCAAACGAGAGCATTATGTACTGGGTTTCCTGCGGAAGATCCCAGTCTTCCCTTGCTTCAAGGGAGGTCCCTGTTTTTGAGCTTTTAATTGGATACAACTTGGGATCTCGCGACCCGCCGCTGAATGAGTCGTCATATGTGCCATGGATCCCTAGATGGGATCAAGGCCAGTCGTAATGGCATCTCGCATCTCGGATGCTCCGACCGCTGCACAATAACTGCCTTGTTCATTAAGGGATGGTAGAGACTTCCCAAGGATTCTGAGACTTTCAAGGGTTAATTCTGGTCGTATTTTTTTCGTGGCGAAAACGAGGCCGACTTGATCTCGAAGGGGTGGAAAACGGGTCGATGATAAAGTTGACCCCGGTTTTGGCCCTTTCTCCCCATGCTGATTTTGCACGTGTGCTCCCCTGCACAAGCACATGTTTATCACGCAGTTGGCGGCTCGTCGGTGGGTCGGGGACCCCGTGAAACTAGTTGACAAGCACTCGAGATGAGAAAGGGGTGAAAAAATATGTGTGGAGTGCTCGAGAAGCCTCCTCACTTGGCAGGTTCCCATGGCTTATATAATAAAAATTTAATTATTATTTAAAAGATTTGCGGTTATCGTGGTTGATTCGGTGAGAATTTTTTCGAGTTGATTGGTCGATAGAAAATACGACTGACACCACGGAAAGAGTTGGCGGTTTGATGTGCCATCGTGTTGAGATTTTGAAATGCTACGTTGAAAACCACCCAACTGTGCGTTGGAAAAAGCGTACATTTGAACAATATGAGGTGGTCAGTGGTGGTCCGCTGCTCGAGCCGTGCCGATACACCTACCTTTTATTTTCAGATGCATTGTGGACTTCATTAACAATTGTCTATGTGGGTTTAAAAGTCGACGCTAAGAATTTAAAGAAGTTTCTGCGATCAGAAACCGTGAGAGGGAATGAGGGATGAGGGATGAGAGGGGGTGGCTGGATATATTGCTCATGTGCGCAGTTGGGGATCATGCATGTGAGGACGAGGATGATGTTATGAAAAGGATGAGGCGGTTAGGAAACGTGGGACCCATGTGTGTGGAGTCCTTTCCTCTTCATGCTATCCAATGACTTGTTCATCCCTCGGCAGGAAGAGCGGATGCTCCCTGCGGGTCCGCTTGCACGGCGGCGTCGTGAAAGTGGCCATTGCTTATTCTTGGTTCTTTATGCGTTGGAGGACTGGGCTTTGACTCCCGGATGCCCTCCCGCGCGGAACGAATGCCGGAACCGGTCCAAATGAGCTTTTTAGAGTCGGAGTCATCGGGACCACGAGTTGGACGGAGATTCGCGACTCTAGGGTTCCACCCTCGAAGACCCCTCGAGTCAGGGATTTCAACGAAAGGAAAAAATGACAGGACTCACCTGGTTGGCTGGGGACGCCGCGGAGGACAGACGGACGGAACGGAGACATCACAGTCGAGTTTAGAGCCGAGCACACGAGAAACTCGAGGGAGAGAAATGAGGGGACTCGGAGCTGATGCCCCAGCCGTCAGAGGCCGCTCCTTGTCAGCTGATCTTTGACCGCCATAAGAATTCCCCTTCGTATTTTTCTTGCCGATCCCGTGGGGATTCCGGACTCATTGACTCGTGGGAACGTGACCACGTTCCAAGGGCGAGAAAAGCCACTCGATTCGCTTGGCCTTGTTAGAATTAATGTGTCAACATCGTGAGGAGTGCTCGCTTCATGGATCGAGCAGAGAAAGAGGTTCAGCGTCTATAACGCAAGGGAACAATGCTGAACATCATATTCCGCCTTGAGTGCATCGTCTTAGTGCTCGCTAGTGTCTGCCACCTGGAGAGTCGGATGAGAAGGAAAACCGGGATCTTGCATCCTTGGATGGCGCCCTAATCAGCTGATCTAAAGTCTTTCGGTACGGGTAGGAAGGGGGGGGGGGGAGGGTTTCGGGGGAAACAGGAGGAAAGACAGAGGGCATTTCCCTCATTAATCTGTGAAAGTTCATGTGAAATAATGGGAGTTGCCTCTGGTGGGACTTTGATGTGTCGGGGTGGCATTCTAGGTTGCGTTATTCCATCCCATTTTCTACTGCCTTGCAAAAGAATGGACTTGTCTTCAAGAACCAGGGAAGAGGGACAGGAAGTGGATGGGCTCAGTCGTGACTGAAAGAGACATTTCGTTTATGTATGAGCTCTTAAGGCTTTGGGGAGCGAATGAGAAAGTCATTGTCATTCCGACTTGTGTTTGTTTTGTTTTTTTCTTAGTTTCTTTTTTTTTTCTTACGAGCAAAGTAAACATAAGAAGGTCAAGGTAAGAAGCGAAGAAGCTGAGCCAGTATGGTGGGAAGCCAGGGAATCCAGGTGAGGCGGCGGGCTCACCAGGTGCGACGGCGCGCCTCCTCCACCTGCGTCTTGTGCAGTTCTCTCTTCGAGTTGTGGATGAATCATTTTAAAGAGTTTTCAGGTCACAACCGCCAGTCGTGTTTCCTCTTGAGTATGAATTTGTTGTGAGTTGAGGTGAACGGTACGAATTCCGTTTGCAGCTCTCGGACTTGGCTGTCCCCATCATGCATGCCACATGGCAACATTACAAAAAAAAATCAGCTTAGGTAGCCATCCTGTTAAGCTTGTACCTCTCAGCTGAATTATTTTTTGGTCACACCGCGGTTTCAATTTCCATGCATACAGTAGGGTAAGACACTCAATGATGTATCATGTTAGAGTTAGTAGGTTAATATTTTCCGTGACGTCACTGTTTAACACCACGTACTGCTAGAAAAGTGAGGTCATATATAAGCCATTACTGGTCGCAAATCAAATAATCAGACCCAAAAAGGAAGGGAGGGGGGGGACAAATGACCAGAATTTGTTAATATTTTTTTGTGCGATGATTTTGTTGCAGACGCATGTCTGCGGTGCCAGTCGGAGAACAAGGCGACGGAGTGCGTGGTGGTGTGGGGGGAATGCAACCACTCCTTCCACTTCTGCTGCATGAGCCTGTGGGTGAAGCAGAACAACCGCTGCCCCCTCTGCCAACAGGACTGGGCGGTGCAGCGCGTTGGCAAGTAGTGGACGAGGGAGAGTTTCAGCCGGAAGGAAGTTGTCCAAGGAAGGCGTTGGAGGTTCTCTGGCTGCGAAGTGGAGGAGGGAGTGTTTGTCCAGTAGCAAAATGGGAAAGGTGGAGCTGTCATTATCTTCCCTTTGTGCGGTGGAGTTGCACTTGTCGACAATTATGTTGAGGTAAAGCTGTGCGGTTATGAATTTGGTGAGAAAAAACTGTGCACTCAAATCAACCCAACTTCATCTTGCTCTTCCAGAAGTGCTTGTAATTCGCCTCTGGTAGTTGCAATTGCCACTCATTTTGGCATGATGTGATTGGAACGTAGCAAGCTTAACTACCATAGTGCAAGAAGTGATTGAGTTGGTGTTTTATAATATACTGCATTTCGCCAAGAAACGCTGTGTTCTATCTTGAGTTCATACACTACGCGTGATGTCACGCGTTTCAGTGAAATCGATCTTGCAGAATCCGAGAAATAGCATTTTTCCATGCGATGTAAAATTGGCAATTGTGCCTGTGTGCAAACCCCGAACCCTATTCAACTAAGCTTGCAGAGGCAGACTCGCTCACTTATTTGACATTGCACAAAAAAGCTATTACTCACACTCGAATATCACCAGCACATGTTCAATGTGACACTAGGTGGTCCAAAAAGTTTCCCAACTTTTTGTGTGGAGCATGGTGTTCCCTTCGGCTGTCATGTAAAGCTGGGAGTGGAGCCAGTGGAATGACAGATCTGTACCTGGGCTGGTACTCTAGTTTTTTTAACCCTTTGCGGTCCTCTGTCGCCTCTGAGTGGGCCATTACAAAATTCCCATTTGAATAGCTGTATTTGAGTACCGATGAGAGTGATTGGGAAGTCTATAGAGTCTATTTGACAAAAGTATGATCAACATTTGGGTTTTATTTCATTGTATTCAATTTGAGAAGCATTATCATAAAAGGTGCAAATTTTACAGTAAATGTATGAAAAATAATTGGACCTGGTGGGCATGTTTGTGGGAAAAAATGGACGGCAAAGGAATGTTTCCTGTTCCTCTTTACGAAGAAAGCTCATATTCAATTACCCTTTCATTGTTGCTTAGTCCCACGAAGGCCTGTATGCTGTGTCTGGAAATAATGGCGCAAATGGGTTTAGAAGAGCGCCTGTAGAATCACAGCAAAAGTTGGGCGTAGCTATGAACAGGTGAATAATTTGTTTCGAGGAACTATACTTAAAAATGCTGGGGGGAAAGTGGAGATGAATTGTCAGGGATTGAGCCATTCATGAGCCATTCATTAAGGCTTCTACTTGCCCTCCACCGATGCGTTTTGCGTTGTGCACTCGAACCCGAACAAGATTCTGATGCCAAATGTTTTATTTTTCCTTCACGATCTCAATTTCGCACGAGAAGGAAAAGAAAGGCGCGAGGAATCAACAATATCCTTGAAAATTTGATAAAATTCTCATGTACTTAATCTGAAAAAGGACTCTTTAAAAAGTGCATTTAATAAATTTAAAAAATCAGTTTAGCCAGGACTTCCTGGCCCTGTTACGAAAAAAAAAATTGTTGACCAGCCCATGGTGCTAATTGCATTAACCTGCTTTCAATAATTTCGAAAAAAAATTAGCTTTTGAAATGATAATGTGAATTATGGGACACCCGGTTCAGCAAACTCCCAGAAAAAAAAAACATGAAGAGGGCGAGTCGCTCATCCGTATTCGATTGAAGGCAAGGGCGATTCGTTCGTTTCAACGGATGGATTCGGCATTCGGTCCAGGAATAATAATAATAATAATAAGTTGCCGGGAGGACTCAAATTATCTCGGAAAAAAAAGAAACCATCTTACTGATCTTGGTCCTTTAGATTAATTTAATTATTGGATTAAATGCACTCCGGTTACTTCGGTTTTCCCCGGGCGTCACCGTGGAGATGGGAAGCAGAGTTGGCTATTTGATTTTTAGAATTGGTTCTTGGCATGGCACCGTGGCAAAAATAACGAAAAATGTAGAAGGGGTCAATATGATTACTACGAGGGTCAGTCATCTGAAAACAGGATGTCGTATGAGTAAATTATTGAGTAAATTCGAATATAACTTTAATAGAGCTTTGTGGCTCCCGCGGGACATTATTTTGTTCGCGGCCCTGCATGGGTTCTGCCCATGACAGGGTTGGGCCCGCATAGCCCTCCATTGTTTTGCTGGGGGTGTGACCTCTCTTTTCCGGCCACGCCGTCTTTCGTTTTTCCGTCTCGCGTGTGGTCCTGTGTCGTCCGTCGGGAGAGTTCGTCTGAGGCAGTCCCTTGTGGGCGCGGCCGCCGAATGGGATTACGTGTTCTCCGTGTACGTAAAAGGGCCCTATTATATATGTACTGACTCCAATTAGATGAGTACCGGTGAGATTCGGAAGGACTAGGCTGGTCAGCAACAAGCCCGCATAGCCCTCCATTGTTTTGCTGGGGGTGTGACCTCTCCTTTCCGGCCACGCCGTCTTTTCGTTTTTCCGTCTCGCGTGTGGTCCGGTGTCGTCCGTCGGGAGAGTTCGTCTGAGGCAGTCCCTCTTGCCAGCCGTGCCTGTAGCCTTTCTGTTTGGTCTTCCGTCGGTCGCCCTGCCTGCAATCTCCGTTGCCGTCTGTCGCTGTGCCGTCGATCGCCCTGCCTATTAAAGACTCTTAAAACCTCTTCAACACCTCCTCAAGACCCCAATTAACATCTGTAATATTTATTCTTTTCTCTTAATTCAACTTTATTAAAAATATTTGTTGTCGTTGTTTGAACACCGTTTTATTATTTGTCATCAGTCGTCTCCTTAGACGGCTTGTCCTGTCTGTGGAGTGAGGCCAGGACCCTTTCTTTTGCCTCCGATTAACAGCTCGTGCTAAATTATCTTTCTCTTGTTTTCGGCTTAAAGTTAACGTTAAAAGTCCACTTTTGAGGCCCTCCACACGACAACTGGTGGCAGCGGTGTTCATTTTTTTTTCTTTGTTGGCCAGTGAATGCAATTGAGATATTTATTCATAAGTCTATTTGCCCGCAGCCACTTTCATAGTTTATAGGCCTATTGGCACGTTGTCCTTGTTCAAGTTTGTTCAATTTTTTTTTTTTTTTTTTGGGGGGGGTGGGGAGAAACTGTTTAATAGATATCGTCATAATGGACAAGGAAGTAAAGGCTAAAAAATTGGAAGATTCAGAGAAAGTAGATGGTGCTGGCGGTGTTACTGCAACTTTTTCTAGCCATGCTTTTGTTCGTCCCCCTATCTACCACACGGGTGATGATTTTTCCAAATGGCTGGTGGTAAATGAGAGTGTATGCTCTGCCAATAATCGGCCAGATTCCACCAAGATTTCGTATCTTCCCATGGCTTTACCCAGAGATTCTCCTCTGCAGTTGGCTGTTGCTGAGGCTGATAAGACTGTCTTTCCGATTTGTTATGAAATACCTGAAATCTATGCTTTCCATCCATGAGCCACAGGAAAAGCTGGCGAAATTCGATTCACGGGAACTGCAGTTGGGTGAGAGAGTTCTTTAATATGAGAGAGCTCTACGTGTTTTATACAGACCTGCTCTAGGGAGTGAAGCTAATCCTGATTCCGACCCTAGGTACATTAAGAAATTCATCGGCGGTCTACCACATAGGTGGCGCCTTCGTATTGCCTCAAAGATGTACACGTCAGTTGCAGGAGCTCATGGTGCACTAGCGCATGCTCAAAACCTTGAGGCAGCTGAAGCACTTCATGGCCCACTTTTTGAACATCAGTTTTCATACTCTGCTCCTGTTGCTGTGACTCAGTCATCTTTACACATGGAGTCAGGCAATCAACTGCAAATGCAGGCTGCATCTATTTCTGAGGTTGATCAGTTGAGGGCCAAAATGCATAAATTGGAGGAGGATGCGAAACAACGTGAGAAGGATATGCAGTCGCAAATGAGTCAGCTCACATCCATGATGACAGATCTTTTGTCTGAGCTTAGGGAGGGGCGTGGTCAAGTCCGAGGGCAGTGTCAATCGACCGTCCAAAGACAAAGCCGTCCACCCTCCAGGTCATTTTCTCGTGGCAGACCTAGGAGTCCATCAAGGTTTTTCTGTTCTTTTCGTCAAAGACGTGGACATACAATGGACAGATGCTATGCACGTCAGAACACACGTTGTTTCAGATGCAATTTGTTAGGCCATAGAGCTACTGATTGCCAGAGGAGAGTGGACTCAAACTGTCAACCACACACTGGCACTGATAGGACTCACTCAAACTCATAGCATTTTCAGGGAAACTAGATTCGGCTAGTCCTAGGAGACAAGAACTAGCCGCTGATTTGGATGTCCCCACTCGAGGCAAAATTGTTTCTTTTGGTGGAAGATTTGTTTCAACTTTTTCTAGTCGAGTTCCAAACCCTTCCTCATCTCAAATGAATCTATCAACTCCTAAGTCAATTTTGAAAGTTCATGGTAGTAATTCAAATGGAAGTGTTTGTGGCACAACTCATTCTCTTTCCCCAAATGCTGTCTACATGACAATGAAAGTAGAATCATTGAAATATGGTGTCTTGGTTGACACAGGTGCAACTTTTTCCCTGGTGGATGAGACCTTTGTTGTTTGGATCTTATGCAAAGGGAGAGATATCAATCGTCACTGTAGAAAACCACATCTTGTTGGAAGTGGTGGTGATACTTTGCACATTGTGGGAAAGGTGTGCTTGCTTTTGAACGTGGATGGTTTGCTGATCCTTCACCATTTTTGGGTTTCGAGAAATTTGAGTTTCCCTTGTCTTTTGGGTTGTGGTTTCTTGACCCAGAACCCACAAGGTCCATTCATGATTGATATTGATGAAGCCAAACTAGTGCGGAAAGGTGGTTCTCAGACCTTTGAGCCTATTGGTAAGGTCTGTGTAGTAGAACCTGTTTTGGTCCCACCAAGAACAGAAGTTTGTTTTCCTGTTTATCTTTCTCAACCAAGTGCTCATGGCACTGGTGAAGTTCTTTTGGAACCATGTCAAAATCTGCCAAATGGCTTAGTAATGGCCAGATCAG